TGGTGAACTAGTGTTTTCTTCTGCTGGTGGTGTCAAAATACTATTATTTTGTGAATTAACGGTTGTCGGACTAGAAGAAATAGTATTTGAATCATAATATAACTGATCTAATATTGTTGAAGAATCATATGAAGAATTTTGTATGGTCAAATAAGGAGTTAATAATCCCCAAGACTCTCCTAACTCTATAGCTGGAGTAGAAGACAAAGATTCATTTGTTAAATACGTTTGAATTGAATTTGAAGTATCAATAGTATCAATAGTATCAATAGTACGTATTGAAGGATTTGTCGGTAATTGTGGTTGTTGTCTTCTTTGATGTCGACGCCTCGGCTTTGAAGGCCAAATCTCTTTATATCTTTTCTTGGCAGCTTCTGCTAGTTTTTTATATTCTTGCTTTACAATTTCAGGTTCTTGTTTCCATGACTCAGAAACCATCGGTGAAATTTGTGTCATTTGTAAATTTACTCCCCGTGAGTGAAGTTCCTTAACATAAACTTTACGATAAATAATAAAAGCATTACTTGATTTTGAAGGCTTATCACCGTTAGGCTTAGAGGTAACCAAGTCATCGATGTTTATTGTTGGAGGAAAAGGTGGTTTTATGAAAAAGGACTGATGAGGTGAATCTTGGGTCAACCCCCCCGATGTCGTATCAATGGAAGAAATCACATTACCAGTTTCATTATCTAATAAAATTGGTGAACAATTATTACTGGATATTTCAAATTTCAGTGACTCATCCATTGGACGATAATATGGTTCTACGTAAGAGGAATGCATTTATTCGGAATACGGGGTGAAGAAAACACTTTTCTCTCCTCTTTTAACGCGAGACCCTCTAAAGTATTTATAGTTTTAATTTTTGTACACATGTATCTATATATCAGGTGATTTTTATATTGGTTTATGTAATATTTGAATATTTGATATTGTTAAATAAAACTTATCATCATTATATAAATGTGATATTAAATTATATTAAATGATATGATGGTAATGTGATAAAACCTTTTATTCTTTTATTTATTTATCGTTATTTATTTATTTATTTACATATACTATAACAATTATATATATATATTTATTATCACGCATGGAATAGATCAACTATGAATTGTGGCGGTGTAAACTTTTTTCTGGTGCTAACCATTTAAATAAACTAACAATTTTTCAAAAAAATGTCTAAAGAATTAATGGAATTAATGTAAACTGATAGGAAATTGGATGAATCATATAATGAATTTCTCGGTTGGCTTTTCAAATCATACACGTCGTTTTAAATCGTACACGTCATTTTAAACCATACACGTCGTACAGTATATATACATACTGTTACTGTGTATACAATATATATTTATATATTTATATATATATTTATATTTATATATATATATATATATGTATACATGTATGTTATATATACATATAGATGTGTATGTATATATATATACAGTATACGTATATATATTTTTTTAGAAAAAATTTTTTTTAAAAGAGAGAAAGAAAGAAAAGACTAACATTGAATTCTTCTTGAATAAAATTATATATATGCTTTACTATCATTACTATCATTACTATCATTACTATCATTATTATCATAGTTATCACAGCTATCATAGCTATCTAGCTATCATAGTTATAATAGCATATATCATAATATCTTTAATCTCTGACTTGACGTTTGCATCATTTCAATTTACAGTCAGAAAGTCGGAAAATAAACATAAATAAAAAAAAAAAAATTAATAGTTCAAATAAATACATATGGCCAGTTATGACCAGCCAGTTATGCCAGCCAGTTATGCCAGTTATGCCAGTTAATGAATTCACGATCACACAATAGTAACAGGTAAATTTCACTTAATTAATTAATTAATAGTGAAAAAAATTCTTTATTGATTATCAAAGAAAAATAAAGAAAAATTTAACTACGTACGTATGATTCAAGTTTATTGGCCATTAACAAATTTAGGGTAACAATATAATTTTATGAAATTATTGTAGACAAATAAATGCTAGTGAGTTTTATAATTTGTTTTTTTTTTTAACATACGCACGTATCAAATATGTACATATGTATGTGACCCCTCAAACACAGTAATAGCTGCAAATAAAAACGCAAATAAAAGTGCAAATATCACTGAAATAGTACTTTCGATAGTACTGCTACAGCACTGCAATTACACACTGCAATTACACACTGCAAATACACTGCAATTACACTGCAATAATTGAAATAAATACATTCGATACATGTCCTATTACGTTATGTGACTATCGCTTTTTTATTTGATGTTTAACATTTAGACGACAAACAATATGAAAAAACATACTTATCTATTCCTGTTTTTATCTATTTATTCTCTAATTAGTTCTAGAAATCAAATAATCCAATCGATATTATATAGATAATCCTTTGGTTGATCAATTTCGAAACATTCTTTTAAAAAAGAATTTTAATATGACATCATGGTACAAGTGTATCTTACATGCATAGTATCATGATGTACAATCTATAATACCAAAAATTCGGGTCGGTACTTGATCGGCCGAGTCGACCAAACTTGTAAAGACTATCACGCCATTTTTCTTTTTTTAATTATAATTTTATCGTTATTGGCAAATCGCAATAAATACAATTTTTTGTCTGGTTCGGCAAAACCAGAAAATTTTCAGGAATCATTTATTTTATGACTTTTAAAATAATAAATCTCTCTTTTAAATATTCCTTCCTTTAAATATTCCTTTATTAAATATTTATCTAACTTTGTTTTTGTCTAACTTTTGATTAATGCGCTACGGAGAAAAAAAAAAGAAGAAACTAGAGAAACTATAACTATATAAGTATGATATATACGTATGTATATATGTATAATTTAATATAATTTACTTTATTTTTTTTATATTTTTTATATATTTTTTATATTTTTTATATATTTTTTATATTTTTTATATTTTCTTGTTTTTTATTTTTACTTGGACTTACCATACATCCATATCCATACAGTACCAAGGTCATCATAACGATAAGGATTAAAGAACGCCACATTAATTGTACTGTGCAGCAAATATATTACGTATATAAATAAGACTGCAGTTAATTAAAATTTTCGCATAGCATTTATTCATGTAATTTCATGTAATTGGTATTCGTATGAACGTATTTAATTGAATAATTGAATATAGCCAAACCATGGGTAAAAGGTACTTCCAGTGTTAGTGTTGTCCAACTATATATAATTACAATAACTTGCAAACTTTTTCCCTGCCCAAAAGTCACACAATTTGACAAAAGTTATACAGATTGACTTTATGGTTAACCAGGTGACATTTTATATATACTGTATATTTGACATGTGATAAAAATTCTTTAAATTTTTTTTTTTATTTTTTTATGAAAAAATTAAGTTTATGATTAGTAATGATTAGTAAATTTTATTCATAAACTCTTTATACAGTATATAGTTCTACGCCAAAGCTTCGTTATAGCAAGATGACCAAGAATTAGATTAATTTAATTGGTATATTAGTTAACAAAGATTGTATTTGTGACCATAATGTGAATTATCAAAGCAAGCCACCTGTGCACGTTTTGTTAGTTAATTGGTTAGGTTGTTTAAAATTTTGTGTTTGGTGTAATTTTTTTATTGTGGCAAAAAAAAAAATTAAAAATACATATAAAATATATAAAAAAATATATATATAATATATATATATAATATATAATATATATAAACATATACATATTTCTTTTTCCGGCAAAAGTTTATCAATAGAATGTTAAAAATGCTAGCACGATGCTTGGGCGATGCTAGTACGTATGTGCGGTGCGTACATGCGTGGGAATCTTGGAAATTTAAGAATACCCACTAGTAATTTACTAACTGTATTAAGTTTAATCTTAGTAATTGTCATCTTGAAAAAATCTGCATCTGAGAAAATATCTAGGATGAGTTTTGCAACGATCGCGAAAATTAGACTCGTGTGAATCATAAATTTCACACATACATATTACGTCAACAAGTTTTATTATTTATATATAATTATTGTTGAATTAATGATTTTATCATCCACTCATCCACTAACATCTTTTGTATACATATTTGATATGCAATGTTTTGGACTAATTTTGATTTTTCACCTTGTTTGGACTTTTGCTTATTAATTAACTTTATATGAGTGGTAACTATTTTTAAAAAAAAAAAATTTGCGTGAATCTCTTTGAGATTGTCCATTTATCGGATAAACCCGAGATTCACAATAAAAAAAAACAATAATGTAATAATAATAAAGCCATATATGCTAATATGATTTTTAATGAATGTGCGTATATATATATATGTATATATATACATATATATATATACGCGGTAAAGCCACTGTGATCAAAAAAAGAAAATGAATAAAAACTCTTATTTTGTCGAATACGTATAATGTGTACTTGTGTGTGTGTATATAAAGTTTTTTCTCTTTTTTTAAAAAAAATTATTATTATTATTTTTATTATTTATGAGAACACGAAACATTTTATTTCTAGAATTCTTTATTGGTTGACGGAGTATTGGTAACGGGTACATTCATTTCCAAAATGTGTCAACACTTTAATACTTATTACCGGATTTGGTTTGTGAACGATCTCGCATTTACGCAGTAACTTAATGTACGTACGTACGTATGAACTTAAAGTGCGTACGTACGTATGAACTTAAAGTGCGGAAATACTTTTAAGTACATATCTGATATGTACATATATACATACGTACGTACCAGATACGCAGCTTTTCTAGATAACATAATATATACAATATTTGGGAAACTAGGAAAAATTGTAAGACGCACTGACCATGACCATCCTTAAAGTCTAATTTATATTATCTATTATTACTATTATTACTATTATTACTATATATTACTGTATATTACTGTATTATTAGGATTTGCTTTTATAAACTACCCAGTCACACTTAAAGAAGCTGCGCATCAAATACCATTAAGTACCATTAAGTATATACCATTAAGTATATACCATAAATATCATCAAATATCATTAAATATCGTCAAATACTAACAAATATTAAAATACCATCAAATACTTTCAAATATCACGTAACATTCAAGTGATTCAATTAGGTGAGCTGTGATTCAATCAGGTTAATAATGATTCAATAGATGTTTGGCCATTGATTTCCATGGATTTTTCCATTGATTCTCATGAATGTCTGTACTTATAAATGTTAAATTCTAATTCTGATTTTCTGTACTAACTATATTAATAAATATATAAAGTCCGATACACCAGGACACAATTTCCTAATATATGATAGTCCAAATATATGATAGAAATATGTATATACAGTATATATATATATATATATATATATATATATATATA